TTATGTTTTACTATTATCGGTGGTACCTTTACTTCTATAGGTTTCGTGTCATTATTTCCTTGTATGATTTCCATTGTTTCTTGCTTTTGGCCACGCTTTCTTGACTTAACCTTTGTAAATTCTTCAAGTTCGAGGTCGGTATCCATATCACTTCGGTCAGTAAGTGACTGGTACCTGTTTTCTTTTTATTCTTTTTACTTCGTACCATTGTTTGTTGTTTGTTGTTACTCTTGATTTCAAGCCTTTTGATAGATTTCCTAGGCTTATGCCTAGGAAACTCTGTGTTGGGGACACCCACCTGACTATAGATTTTCTTTATCTTCTTGTAATAATACTTAAGAAATATTCTTCAAAATAAACTAGCTTCTAATAACTTTAAATTTCACTACACTCTTGCACTTCCGGGTCGTATACTTCAGAATATCAGCTCTCTTTCGACCTTAGTCTCTTCTCTTGTGCTTAAGATAAATATCACTTTTTAAGACGTGATAAATATCTTGGTTACTCAAATAGGACTCTACAAAGCGTAAACGAGCATCGGTGGTTCATTGGTAGAATGCTCGCCTGCCACGCGGGCGGCCCGCGTTCTGTTCCCGGCCGATGCAGCAACTTTTAATTCCTCACATAAAAATAAATACATCATATTTATATAATAATAAATTATAAATTTAAAATAGCATTGAAATATTTATAATATTTAAAAACAATAATGCAATTAAAGTCATACTTCAAATACGACATGATCGGTTTGTCATTGGAATTAGCTCGAACCTTTATTACAGAAACTAATTGGTATTGGTATTTTGCCTTGATGCAAGTTACATGAACTTCCCGATAAGTGTAAATAATCGACTTAATTTATGAAAAATAAATTATTAACTTCCCGAAGGAGAAGTTTATGTTTTCATCAAAAAATCCGATTAGCTAATTTTATGTTTTCTCGACGTTTCAAGCCATTCTGAATCAAATGAGACCAAATTTGGAAAAAGTATGTGTGTGTGTGAACAGATTTTTGCCGTAAATCGACGTTTTCTCAAAAACGGCTCGATCGATTTCAAAAATTAAAAGCCATTCGACGTATCTCGATGAGGACGATCGGCCGGGCCGTTTCTTTGTAAATCGCAAACAAGTGAAAAATTTTTCGTCCACGTTTTAACCAGCAATTCTGAATCGATTTTGAAAATTCAAAAACAGTTCGAAAGATATTGGTTGGGAATCGTGCTGATTAGTTTTTGGAGAAGATCGGCCGGGCCGTTTTCTTGTAATAAAGTTTAAAAAAAAATAATTTTTGACGATTTTTATTATTATTTTTTTGACGGTAGATACCATAGTCTTCTAGATCATACTAAACATTACGGCCCTACGACAACTCGTTTAGCTTTAAAAATTCGCAAAGTTAGTATCGTTTTTTGGCATTTGTCAAAATTAGACCTTTCATCGACGATTCCTCAAAAACGCCTGAATCGATTTTGAAAATTTAAAACCATTTGATGTGTCTCAATGAGGACTATCGCTTGTCACTTCTGTGCAACGATCAGCCAAGCCGTTTCTTTGAAATTTAGAAAAAAGTGTTAAACTTTTCGTTCACATTTAAGCTCATTCTACCGAATCGATTTCAAATAATCAAAAACTGTTCGAAAGATATTAGATGGGAATGATACTGATTAGTTTTAGGTGAAAATCTACCGAGCCGATGTTTATGGACCTTTTTTGGCCATATATACCATGGTCTTATAGAACTTACTAAATTATTGCGGCCTTACGACAAGTAGTTTAATTTTAAAAATTCATCAAAGTTTGAAAAAATGAGTAGTTTGTTTGACGTTTGTTAAAATTAAAATTAGACGATTCACTTGGTATAACGATAGAGTACTTGGTCTTAATAAACGTAATAAATCATTAAAGTCCTGCGGAAACTGGTTCAATTAAAAAATTATTGATTTTTGAAAATTTGCTTCTCGAAAATACTCCGATTAACGTGTTCGTTCGTTTGCAATTATGTGTAATAAATCCACTCGGAATACTTTTAATCACTCATAAATTAATTTATTTTTTATTGATCGATTATTTACACATATCGGGAAGTTCATGTAACTTGCCTCAAGGCTAAATACCAAACCAACTAGTTTTATGAGTGATTAAAAGTATTCCAAGTGGAATTTATTACACATAATTGAAAACACACATAATTGATTTATTACACATAATTGAAAACGAACGAACACATCTAAATAAAATGAGCATCGTAGTACTTATCATGGACGCAAACTATTCGTTTCTATACTACGAAAAAAATCAAAATTAAAATTCATTTTTTGAATTTTTCTTTTTTGTATCGCAGAGCAAAAAAATCACAGATTCTGAAACAATTTTTAAACTTTTGAAAAAGTGACCTGTGGACACCCAAACAAATTGGCAACCTCCCTGAAAAGGGGTGAAAAAATAAATTTTTTGAAAATTTTTTTTTTGTTTTATATTTAAGTAAGCGAGCAAAAAAATTGGGCATTTTCGAAATTGACATTTTTTTTAAATTGGCAAATTTGGGAATCTTTCCCGCCAACTAAATAAAATCGAAAAAATAAAAAAGCGAAAATTTGTCGTCAAAGTTTTCGTTCCGCTCGTATACATGCTCACTATTTTTTTATGTAATTCCGAAAATAATTTGAATATGTTTCTGAAATTTCAGGGTTATATTCTTGACTAGTTTTCGAAGACATTTTTGCAAAAAAATCGATTTTTATAAGCCTCTAAAACAGGCTTCCTTAAAGCAAAATGCTGGAACTTCTCGTACCAAAATTATATATTTTTTTAAAAAGATTCATATTTTTTTAAAGTTTATTAAAAATATTTTTGAGAATGAATTCTCAAAAAAATATGTTTGAGAATGTTGAACTTTTTGAAAAAAAATATTTTTTTGATAAAAATTAATTGTTTTTTGTATATTTTGAAAATTTTTATTTTTTTTTAACTTCCCGTAGGGTAAGTTATAGTAATCGCAAAAAAATCGAAAATGAAAATTTTTATATATCTTTACGTTTCAGAGGTTTCTGAATATTTTGGCATACCTTAGAAAAAATGGATGTATGTGTGTGTGTGTGTATGTGTGTGTGTGCGTGTGCGTGTATGTATGTGTGTGCGGATACAAATTTTCGTCGACGATTTCGGGAACACGGATGAAGCAATTTGCATAATTCAAAAAACATTTGATTCGTATTGATAAGGAGACGTGCTGATTAGTTTTTGGCGGAGGCAGGTCTAGCCGTTCTGAAGATATGGTGCAAAAAGTGCCAAAAACGGTACCTCAGTTTTTAAGAGAACGGAGCGTCCGATTTTAATAATTCAAAAAACATTTTACTTGTATTGACAAGATAAAGAATTGATCAATTTTTATAAGGGTAAGTCTAGCGGTTTCGGAGATCTAACAAAAAATGTAAAAAAAAAAAATGCCATTTGGCGGTCAAAAATGATCATTAGACATATGCACATCAAATTATCAGATATTTTATAGAGATAAATAAAGAAAACATTGTTTTTTTCAAAACAAAAATTTAAAAAAAAAAATTCCTTTTTTTTAAGTAATCTTTTGTCCAATTTATAGTTTCTCAAAAATCTTATTTCTTCGAAGTAATTTTTTTTTCAAAAATGTTAATCGTTTTTAAAAAAAAAATAATAATTTTTGGTACGGAAAGTTCCAGCAATTTGCCTTAAAGCACGATGCCTTAATTGCCTTAAGACATAATTCCACTTACACCTAGTTTTTCAAAATAATCGTGGTGCTTTAGCTGCATAAAGACGAAATATCTAAGCACGTGAGTGCCGCGTCGCAGTCTAACGGGCAAACAATGTTACGAAAACCATAAAAATGTAAGCAAAGTTCATACTTATTTTTAAAATTTCTGTATAATATCTAATAATTTGATATGTGCATATGTCTAATGATCATTTTTGACCGCCAAATGGCATTTATTTTTACTTTTCTTACTCGATCTCCTAAACCATTAGGCCTGCCTTCCCAAAAATTCAATAAGTTCTTCATGTTGTCAATACACATAACATCTTTTTTGACACATTAAAATTTAACGCTCTTTTCGTGAAGATATGCAAAAAATTTCATTTTCGATTTTTGGACAATTACAAGAAAGATAAGAAATTTTTTCATTATGAAAAACCGTCCAAACCGATCTTTGCCAAAAACTAATAGGCACGATTTCTAAATGATATCTTTCAAATAGCTTTTGAATTGATCAATGATAAGATCAGTTCATATTTTTTTAGTCAAAAGTAAACAAAAATTTAAACTTTTTCTGCTAATTCTAAAGAAACGGATTTGCCAATAGTCTCGAATGACTAATCTACATGAGCAATACTCTTTATCGAATCGCTTATATATTTTTGGAATCGGTTTTGCCATTTTTGAGAAAATATCGAAGAAGGGTCAATATTTGACTCACGCTAAAGAAGAGCTTCTTAAGCGAATGATTAATAATTACTTAATTAGTAATGATAAAATAATTAACTTTTTGGAAAATTCTAAATTAACAAAGTTCGTCCAATTTTAAAATTCGAATCTCAAAGAATTAAATCTTAGAAGTATCTTTATAATATTGTTAGTATTACAGTATAATGTAACTAAAAATATTGTTATTACTTTTTTGTGAACGATTTGTATTTCTCAATGTAATAAAACTCATAATTGCAATGTTTAATCATTTCCCGGCATTATTTAATTTTTGAAAAAATAAACCGTCACTGTTGTATCATATTGAACTTTTCCTTTTCAGCAGAGTTATTTCTATGCGCCTGAATGTCCGTGTAACTTTTCTACAAGAAAAAATACATAATATTTTACAATTTTTATTTGAAATTATGTTGTCAAAAATTGTAAATGTCAAAAAAATATGTCCAAAAAAGTTATCATTAATCATGTTCATGTCCTACATGCAAATTTAATGATAACAGTTTTACTATATATCAATTATATTATTTTTAAACTGTTAAAAATGTCTGACTATGATGAAAATGAAGCAGAAAAGATGAGCCATGAGCTGGTACATGAGATTTTAGTCGCATTTGTTCGCTCGTTGAAATACATATTTTTGCCACTTCCAAAAGAAAATTATTTCGAAAAATGGTCTAAAGAAGGTTTTCCGTAAGTTATCCTTATTTGTATATTTGATAATAGAACTAGTGGAGCGCATGGCATCGTGCCTTAAGGCAAATTGCTGGAACTTCCCGTACCAAAAATTATTATTATTTTCAAAACGATTAACATTTTTGAAAAAAATTTACTTAAAAAAATGAGATTTTTGAGAAATTATTGAAAAAAAAATGTTTTCTTTATTTTGACATATTTTGGAAATTCTGAACTTTTTTTCAAAGCAATCGTACTGCTTTAACTGCATAGAGACAAAACGTCAAAGCGCGTAAGCGCCGCGTCGCCGTCTAACGGATAAACATTGGTACGGTATACATTGGATTAGTACCCATAGAAATGTAAACAAAATTTATATTTATTGTTAAAATCTTTATAAAAAATCTGATAATTTGATGTGCATATGCCTAATGATCATTTTTGACCGCCAAATGGCTTTTTTTTAATTTTTTCATTATATCTCCGAAACCGCTAGACTTGCCTTCATGAAAATTTGATCAAATCTTCATCTTATCAATACAAGTAAATTTTTTTTTGAATTATTAAAATCGGACGCTCCGTTCTCTTAAAAGCTGAGTTACCATTTTTGGCACTTTTTTCCCCGTATCTTCGGAATGGCCTTCGCCAAAAACTAATCAGCACGTCTCCTTATCAAAACAAATCGAATGTTTTTTGAATTATTCAAATCGGTTGATCGGTGTTCGCAAAATCGTCTATGAAAATTTGTATCCGCACACACACACATACACGCACATACACACACACTTACACACACATACACACACATACATACATTTTTTCTAAAGTATGTAAAAATGTTCAGAAGGTTTTGAAACGTAAAGATATATTAAATTTTTCATTTTCGATTTTTTTGCGATTACTATAACTTGCCCTACGGGAAGTTAAATATTCATAGCTTAAATCGATTCCAAGCAAGGCTGAAGAAAATTAATATTTTAATATTTCTATTTTCATATTTGTAAATGTTTGTTGTTCATTATTATCGTCTTAAAATAATGTTGAATACGTAACATATGCGCGGGATAAAAATATGTGAATTATTTCATCCTAACTCTTTTAACATCCTATTCTTTTTTTAAATTAATTTTCATTCTTCTTTTTCTTTTTCAATATGTTCTTCTAAATTTCTAAATCAAACTACTTTTCCCTTCTTACTTCAAATACATTTTGTATTCGTTTACAAATCCATTTATTCTACTATTTTTTTAAATTTCCAAAATCGGTACGATTTTTTTTGCAAAAAAGTGGACAAAAATTATAAATAAAAGTCTAAGCTAATCGACACGAGTCTTTATTGAGTTTCATAAAATGGGTTTTAAATTTTTGAAATCTGTTCTACCGTTTTTTGAGAAAACTTTGACAAATGGTCAAAATTTGGCTCATATGCACTCACATACTCTCATACATACACACGCCATATTTTCAAATTTAGTGTCAAACAAATTGAAAATTCGAGGAAACCTAAAATTAATTGGAATTTCTGGCGAAAACAAACTTCTCAAAAAAGAAAAGGCTCAATCGATTTTATGCCATATTAATCAACATTATTTTGCGTTTTATCAATCATTAATATGTAATAGCATTTTATTTTTCATCTATATAATTCAGTTGATTTAAAATTTTAAATCAAAAAGTTTTCTGAATTATGTTTCCAAGCTATTTCATAAAAAATTCAAAACATAGGAAAATTAATAAAATAAGTAGAATGAACACATTACTCAATAACTCTGTATTAAATAAAAGTAACATATTGTTAACATTCAGGTTTTATTATAATAAATGCACAAACTTGGCATGCTCTTCAATAATGTTTTCTTGCAGATATATAATAGTTTGCTAAATTGATTAAGCAAATTGGAATGCTTTTTTGTATCAATTTTTCAGAAATTGAATTCTGAATATCGAATTTGTATCTATTTCTCAGGTTTGGAGAAAAACTATTAGGCAGCAGTATGGCTGCATTAATTGGAATGAGTGGTACTGTCCCTATGGATTTAATAAGACATTTATTTATTATATACAAAACATGGCCGGAGTCTGTTCGCAAATATACATACACATCGGGGTAAGTGTAAACAGTTTTGTTAGGAATATTGAAATTATAGATCTGAATGTAAAAAGTTAAATAAAATCTATTTATAGCTTGTGTTGTGAATCAGCAATTTTCTGCAACATATTAAATTTCGAACTTTAGTAACTATTAGTTTATGGCATTTTGCCTTGGATCAGAATTCCATGTTATAGATAAGTAGTGGTACATGACATCGTGCCTTAAGACAAATTGCTGGAACCCGCACCATAATTTAAATATTTTAAAAGATTTACAATTTGTTGAAAGTTGGACTCTTTTGAAAGATGGGATTTTTTTATTTTGAAATTTTTTGAAAATTTTGAATGTTTTTTTTAAACTACAGAAGCGCATAATCGTAACTACGGAAGTGCCGTAATCTAACGGTTAAACATTATAAATCTTGGTACAGAACCCATAAAAATGCAAGCAATATTTGCGCATATTATTAAAATATCTATAAAATATCTGATTACTTGTTATTTGTATGTCTAATAACCATTTTTGATTACCAAATGGTATTTCTTTCCTTATTTCAATGTTTTTCCAACATCGCTATATCTGCCTACCCACAAATTGCCAATTGCCAGTTGCCAGTTACAAGTTGTACATTCCGACAATATAAGTAAAATATTTTTGGCCTTTCTTTCAAAAACAGAATTACCATTTTTCGCACTTTTCCCCCGAATCTTCAAAACGGCAGGACCTGTCTTTCCCAAAAACTAATCCCGTAGAGCAAGTTATAGTAATCGCAAAAAAATCTAAAATGAAAATTTTTATATATCTTTACGTTTCAGAGGTTTCTGAACATTTTGACATACCTTAGAAAAAATGGATGTATGTGTGTGTATGTATGTATGTGTGTGTGCGTGTGTGTGTGCGTGTGTGTGTGCGGATACAAATTTTCGTCGACGATTTCGAGAACACCGATCACCCGATTTAAATAAGTCAAAAAACATTCGGTTTGTACTGATAAGGAGACGTGCTGATTAGTTTTTGGCGAAAGCAGGTCAAGCCGTTCTAAAGATACAGAGCAAAAAGTGCCAAAAACGGTAACACAGTTTTTAAGAGAACGGAGCGTCCGATTTTAAAAATTTAAATAACATTTTACTTGTATTGACAAAATGAACAACTGGTAAAATTTAAATGTTTTCAAATAGATCAACAATAATAAATGTTTTCAAATGGATTATTATAAAAAATTGAGACAACAATTTCTCTTTCAAAAGCAATTATTTTGTTAAAATAAGCAGAAAGTTCTTTGAATTATTCAAATCTGACGCCTATTTCTCTCAAAAATTGCCGTTTTTTGCACATTTAGCTCAGTAGCTTTGAAATGACAGCACCTGCCTTTGCCAAAAACTAATCACCTCGTCTCCCAATCATTACAAATCGAATGTTTTTTTAGATCATTCAAATCGGATCGATTCTTTCAAAAACTCGATTTATATTTTCTGCACTCTTTGCTCCGTATCTCCGTAACGGTCTGACTTGCCTTTGCCATAAAATAATCAGCACATCTCCCTATCAATAGGAATCGCATGTTTGATGATCCAAATCGGTTGATACGTGCGCCCGAAAACGTGGACAAAAATGCGGACATACAAAACACACACACACACACATCCATTTTTTCTGAGGTATGCCAAAATGTTCAGAAACATTTAAAACGTCGAGAAATGCAAAAAAAATATTTTCGATTTTCGGCCCATTATTATAACTACCCTGCGGGAAGTTAATAATATTATAAATAATTACAATTGAAAAACGTATACTTGAAAATTATATTACATCAATAGTGTACTAAACAAAACTGCTTAAAACCAAAAAACTAACAACAAAAAATTAATTTATTTTAGGTTCAATTGCCTTTATCATACTGCAGAATCCAAAAATTTCCTGGGAATGTATAAACCAGCTGTAATCGATATAACTCTGAGATCGCCTAAACTAGCCTTCAAAATGGTTTTGAATGAATACTATGGATTTGCACTAACTTCGCCAAGGGGGTAAAAACAATAATATAGTGAACTGTTCTGTAATCCTAATTATATAATGAGACAATCAATCGTGGTTTGTCGATATTTCATTTTCAACAGCAACACTAAATCTGGTAAAATGTATATTTGTATATGTTTGATAAATCACAGCAGATTACAAATTTTTGTTCGTTGTTAATAATTGGTTTATGATTTATTACACTTAAAATTTTGTGATGTGTCTCTTTACAGAGAATTTCCTCCTTTTAATCGTTTTATGGCTGCTGTCTTCACTGGCTTGACAACTGGATTTTTATCGTCTCCTTTTGAAGTATTTCGATACAGATACTGGCAAACTAGATACTTCAGATCATGTAGGTAAACAAACTCTCACTTATAATATGCTAAATTACATAAAGTTCAGAATTCAATAAAAGTACTAGTGGTGAGTGGCATCGTGTCTTAAGGCAAATTGCTCGTACCTTCCCTACCAATTTTTTTTTTTTTTTGAATTCAAAACTTCTAAAAAAAAACTTCTCAAAACGGATAAACAATTGTACGAACCCATAAAAATATAATCAAAATTTATACTTATAAAAATCGGTACAAAACATCTGATGATTTGATGTGCATATGTTTAATGATCATTTTTAACCGAAAAATGGCATCTTTTTAACTTTTTTTACTCGATCTCCGAAACCGCTAGACCTGACTTCCCAAAAATTTAAAATTTCTTTATTTTGTCAATAGAATTAAAATGTTTTTTGAATTATTGAAATTGAACGCCCCGTTCTCTCAAAAATTGCTTACCGTTTGTGGCACTTTTTGCCCCGTAAAGGCTAGACCTGCCTATGCCAAAAACTAATCAGCACGTCTCTTTATTAATAGGAATCGAATGGTTTTTGAATAATTGAAATCGGTTGAACCGTGTTTCCGAAATCGTCGACGAAAATTTGTATCAGCACGCACGCACACACAAACGCACATACATCAATATTTTCTAAGGTATGTCAAAATGGTCAGAAAGCTATGAAACGTTATGATATATAAAAATTTTCATTTTCGATTTTGCTCAAAAACTCATTATTAACTTGCCGATAGAAATCGCAAAAAATCAATTAATTACATTTTTACATATCTTTACGTTTCAAGGCTTCTGAATATTTTCGCGTACCTTAGAAAAAAATTATGCATGTATGTGTGTGTGTGTTTATGTGAATGTGTTCGGGAGCACGAATCAACCAATTTGAATAAATTAAAAAAATATTCGATTCGTATTGATGAGGAGACGTGCTGATTATTTTTTGGCAAAGGCCGGTCCCACCGTTTTGAATATACGTTCCAAAAATGATAATTCAGCTTTTGAGACAGCAGAGCTTTCAAGACTCAAAAAACATGTTTTTTTCATGGACGCAATAAAGGTTTGATTAATTTTTTGGAAAGGCAGGTCTAGCGGTATCGGAAATCTAATAAAAAAAATAAATAGTTGTGCGTGGCATAGTGCCTTAAACATTTTTTGAAAACTTGAAAAATCTCTGATATTTCTACTCTAACACAGTCACGCAGTACGATCGCTTTGAAAAAAAGTTCAAAATTTTCACAAAATTTCAAAACATAAACAAAAATTTAATTTTTCAAAAAATTCAATTTTTTTCAAAAATTTCAAAACCCAAAAATCTGTTTTTATCCTATTTTTCAAAATATTTTGAAGCTTTTTTTTATATTTTACATTTTCTTTACGAGAAGTTCAAGCAATTTGCCTTAAGGCACGATGCCATTCACCACTAGTTTTATAATTTAATCATTCAATTTCTAATTTTTGTCTTAGGGTATTTACCCCCGATGACAAATCTAGAGATTTGGGAGCAACTATTTTCACCGATGGGTAGAAATCGATACGCAATGATTTTACGGGCAGTGGCGATGGAAAATCTAGTAAACGCTTTCATTTATTTTCCACTGCAACATTACCTTAGGAAGTATCTGACAAGTAATCACATCGAGGGACCTTGGTCAGTAATATAAGTAATATGATCACAGTTATTTCTGTGTGATTTTATTCAAATTAAAAAATGGGCTCAAATTTTATAATTCTATAGGACCAGTTTTGTGACCGGCTGGATGGCTGCGACAGTCGCATTGGTCACGGTGACGCCTATTGACAACATCAAGAAACAAATCGTTCGGATTCCGGATTACACGGATTTATATACCTGCCCAAACGATAAACCAGACTATGACAGTCTTCGCGATTGTCTGAGGTAATAAAAATTCACTGGGCGTAAGTGGCATTTTGCCCTAAGGAAACTTGCATAAAATTTGATTGTGAAAAATCATATGTGCACAGATTTGATTGTGAAAAATCATATCTAAATTTTAGATCATGAACTCTATAAGTCTATGCCATTTTAATAAAAACCAACACCAAAGTTTTTACCTTTTTTTAATATATAATTACAAATAAACAACCTGGCCGATCTTTACCAAAAATTAATCACTATTCCCAACTGATATCTTTCGAAGAGTTTTTAAATTTTCAAAATCGACAAACGTAGACGCCAATTTTGCACTATTTTGCTCATACTAAAGAAACGACTCACAATCAGATGATCGTCTCGCTAAACTCGCTAATTCTTGTAGTGTTTTATTAAGTGGCTTAATTGATGCAAACGTTTAAGTTAACGTTAATTCACAATAAACCAAAGAATAAAAAAAAACTTTTTTGTCGAGTAATCTTTATGAATATTCAAATATTTAGACGTAATAAATATTTTGGCTTTTCACATAGTATTTGCTCCAATCTAATTCACAAAAAATCACGCGGGGAAGGGAAGAATCTAGTAAGATATCACGTGTATTTATTTTTCACCAAGATTAAAAAAAAATTACGTTATTTTGCAAATTCGAAAAATGCGTTCAAAAATTTTACGGAACTAAAAATACACGTGATGTTTGGTGTAGGAAGCGAGTGATTCTAAATATCACGACGTATCACGAACGTATCATTATCAACCAATATAAACGTGTGTCTTTCATGAATCATCTTATATATAAAAATGGATCGCAAAATGTGTTGGTAAGCGCATAACTCAACAACGCCTGGACCAATTTGGCCAATTCTTTTTTTAAAATGTTCGTTGAAGTCCAAGGATGGTTGTTACGGCGAGAAAAAAACGAATAATTGCCGGGAAAACCCTAAAAACTGCCCTTTTCTTCTTTAATCGAGTAGGCAACGCAATTTGTAAAAAAAACAATGATCTATGTCATGACATTTTGTGTAGTTTTTGATAATCTAATTTTGAATATATCTATATAAACATAGAAATATCTTTCTATTAATCAAGCTATATTGGCAGCCAAAAACATTAATGTAAATTAATTAAATTTCAAAATCCAAGAACAAATTACAGGCGAATCAGTTGATTCGGCAACTAACCAAGACGATCCACCGGAGTTTTTAAACTCGCTGGATTTGCTAGGATTGTCACCTCACAATCTTCAATTAAAGGTTGGATCGGCAATTATAATGTTGCGAAATATCGACCAACTATATTCAAAGGATAGTATAAAGCAGAAGATGTTCTCGCACCATGCATCCCAATGCGTTTCCAGTGCGTTTATGGTATCATTAAGTGTTTGTGCTTTTAATTTAGAAAACCCATGTTTCTCACATGGAAAATTGTATGTTGTTTGTTCCCTTATTGGAAAACCATCAGATTCGTTTGTCTATGCGCCAGGTAATCAAACAAAAACATCGTTTATCACAAAGCACTACAATGAAAATTGAACTGATTTTTGAATTATGATTTACATTATTAAAATTACTTACTTTTAAATGCTTATAGTGTTTTACTTAATTATTTTTAATTCACACCGAATTATTACCAGGGTGACGGTTCTGTTCAGGATAATTTTTTGCAAAGAATAGAAAAAAGGTAGGCACAAAACACCGCCACATTACAATTTTTTTTGACAGGACGAAGTCTGTCGGGCCGGCTAGTAATTAATAAATCCGTCTCATAATAAAATATAATTTCCTAAATCTTCAGAAAATTGCAAAAGGCAATAAAGTGAATCATAACTTTTAAATCATTTAGACAATTGAAAACTGATAAAAAAATTCAACAATTAATTAAGAAGAAATGGCGCCGTCATTTGATTAATCTTTATCATAAACTAGCACGATTCCCAACTAACCGTTCCTATAACCGTTGATGCAAAGTCAAATTTAGACTCACGTACACAGACACGACACGATTCAGAAAAACTTCGAAAACATAAAATAACGAAATGCAATTTTCTTTCGATCTGGAAACTTTATTTTAATATTATTCAGTTCATTATTTTGGAAGACGTGCTGATTAGTTTTTGGCAAAGACAGGTCTAGCCATTGCGGAAATATGGAGCAAAGAATGTAGAAAATAGAAATTTAGAGAACAGACCAACCGATTTGAGTGATTCAAAACACAATCAATTTTATAATGATGGGAAAAAAGTGGTGATTAGTTTTTGGCAAAGACTGTTCCAGCCATTTCGGAGACACAAAGTTAAAAGTGCAACAAATAGCAGTTTTTGAGAGAATAAAGCATCCGATTTGAATGATACAAATAATATTTTGCTTGTGTTGACGGTGTGAAAAAACGAGTAGTTATTGTGGCATATGCACATCAAATTATTAGATATTATATACATAAAAATTTTATTAAGTACAAATTTTGTTTACATTTCTATGGGTTCCGTACCACTGATTATCCGTTAGATTGCATCGCTGCGCTTCGATATTTCTTCACTAACATAGCCTGCGTGGCGATTGCTTTGAATAAAAGTTCAAAATTTTTAAAATATTAAAAAAATCAAATTTTCAAAAAATCCATATTTTTCAAAAATTTCAAAACATTCAAAAATCTAATTTTTTTCAAAAAATTCTGAAGCATTTTCAAAAATTTTAATTTTTTGGTACGGAAGTTACAGCAATTTGCCTTAAGGCACGATGCCATGCACCACTAGTTACTATTTAAAGTCTATGTTTCAGGCGTTATATAAGATATCGAGGCTTTCCAGCCTTATTCGAAGGCGTATGGTGCCGCGTGGGTGTCAAGTCTCGAGTGTACGGCGTAGTACAATTATTCTATGATCTTCGATTGACGGAGGGAATGTTTTCAAAAGAACCAGTCCTGAAAACCTTGGAAGACTTCGAACAACAGCTATTTGAAATGCAATTGTAAAATAATAATAAAAAGTATAAATACAAACTTGTCGAATTCTGTACATGGATTGCTATATTGCACCAAAGTATACCTCAATTAAAGTATAATGAATTTTATTTTTAGCTTTCTGTAGGGTAAATTTGGGTAAGTTATAGTAATCGTTCAAAAATCGAAAATGAAAATTGTTGCATATTTTCACCTTTCGGAGGTTTCTAATGATTTTAAAGGTAGAGTAAATAGAGCAGAAAATACTTGAGAAAACAGACTATATCCGATTTAAATGATTCAAAATACATTCAATTCGTATCCAATGATCGGGAGAAGTGGTGATTAGATTTTGGAAAAGACAGATGCAGCCGTTTCGAAGATACGGAGCTCAATGTTCAAAAAAAATCTATTTTTGAATATCGAAAATAATTCAGATTTTAATTTTTGATCTTCATATTAAGATCCCAAACAATAAATATATGTTACCTTTTGGTTGAATTTTAATGTAAACAAGTTTATTTTTCATTGTCAAGTAGATATGCTCGGCTCTATTTAGTTGTAATTTTGCATTTTTAGGGACCCAGAAACACTGTGTGGTATCACTCATCCAAACAAATATTTTGTTTTGGTTGGTTATTTGTAGTAAATAACTTTGCCAAAAAGTTGATGTTTCAAATTGTGGATCCATAGACCAACTGTTTAGATTACTTAGTTGTCCCATCAAAATATTAAAACCAAAAAATATTGCATAGAGAAGGAATGCTGGACAGAATGAGAGGCCATAAAGAGAAGTGTAATCTATTAATCTGCATGAAAACCATAAATTATGTAGTTATGTATACACAGTTATGTAGTTAGGTAGTACAATAAGTAAACTTGTCAATTGATAGTATCATTGTTTAAGGATAAAATATCATCTGTTATTAATTATCTTTCTTTAAAGATGACTGCAACCTAATTCTGGAAACCGTCTTTGTGAAATGCTTGATTCGTGATGAAGAGGTCTTGCGCTATAATAATTAAAAATACTTGTTGATCGTTGAGTTTAATATGTAAAGTGATCATAGTATGCCTTGATTCTATTTTTTTTTAATTCGTGGCATGTTGTCTTAATTTTTTGATAAGGTAATGAAAATGTTCTGTTAGCTTAAAATTCTCAAAGGCTACCGATTAAACTTTGTCAAGTTTAATTATGGTAATATTAAGCTCATACACAGAATTTTTTATTCATTTATTTTCATTTGTTGATATCGTCCATTAATTAATAAATTTCAATTTCTGGTTCCATGACTATCACATTCAGTGGTTGCTGTGGAAAATTTCAAAGGGTATGGGCGTGTTTCCATACAGAATTGGCCCCACCTTGGTATTTAAATTATTTTGATGCCATTTTATAGGCATTTTCGAGAAAATTCGATATACCAAATTTCAAATCCTTAGCTCATCATTTGGCCGAGATATCAGTGAAAACATGTGAAAGTGGCCCCTTTTTTCAAACTGACTTTTTGGCGGAAATATGAGAGATATCGAAAAACTGTTTACGTCATTCTATTTGTACTGATCTTGTATATATTATTTATAATGAATAATGTTAAAAAATTGTCATTTACTGGATGAAAAGTTGAAAATAAGTTTTTATTTGAAATTTTCGACCAGTACGGTTAATTTGACTACTTTCTAAATAGCATCATTTTAAAGCCTGTATATTTCACTTTTATTATCCAAAATTATATTTAAATCGAAGTGGAACTTTTTATAAAAAGTTGAAAAAACCGAAGGTAGTACACGCGGAACCCGTAGAATATCCGTGTAAGTAGCGTTTCTCAATAGCAAGCCAGAGCACATTGCGCTTGTCGCGCATCGGAACATATTCTATATAACGGTAATACTTATTTAAAAAATAAAACTAGACATATACATTTATGTCTTTTATATTCATATATTTATGTATATAATTATTGTGGTTATATATTTATATACAATGTTTTTTTGTTTTGAAATCATACCTAAAACGTTATTTGCTTTTTATATTTTATATTGTACCAGGGTGGGGCCAATTCTGTATGGAAACACGCCCATACCCTTTAATTCAGCATAATCTGTGTTTAATTTATTTAGATATTAAAATGTTGAAGAATCTTAATTTACTAAAAAGCATTGAATTTTTAGTATATAAAGTCTTCAGCATATTTTGCTGATCCACATAATCCTTTTTTAAATATTGGGTTTGCCTGGTTAATACATTAAATACATTAAATTAAATACATTAAATTGTTCTGGGCTGTTGGTAAGGTATTTGGTTATATGTTCTAGATCACCAATACGACCAGGAATTGTAATGGTAAGCTGGACCCGAGCAGTGAAGTAGAATAATTATGTGGACTCTCCTCCGGTGTCTACTGGTAGAGTGTAAAAGCCTTTAGGACGAAGAGAAATTTGATAGTAATTTGGAAACAAACTTCTTTCTTGAAATTATACTTTTATTATCCACTATTTTAACAATTAAAACTTGTTCATAACCTTTTGGTTATCATATCAGCAAAGACTACATTTTACTGAATACTAATTAGTACTTAAGTTTTGACTGACTTGTCTAACTCTTATATCATTATATACTAATTTCTTGTTTACAACCTATTTACAAAATCTGACAGCGTAACCTACAAATAACTATAGCAACGCGTTTTGAAATTATTAAACAAAATAATGATTCTAATTGTTATTACAGTTCAACATATTTAAATGCATAACCTTCTTGCTGTGATGTTATGGAAGCGAAATATTTTCACCACCAGATCTACTTTCTTTGTTAGTATAATTTCCATTCAGTTGTGTTTATAAAGCAAACATTTAACCTGCTTAATAATCATAGAATGCTATTCTGACTTTGGCTTCTTTGGAAGGTGGTAAATATTGAAGTAATTGTTCTTGAACCAGGAGGTCATTTTACAGCTTCAAATGTTTTATACTGTTCTGCTATTAATAGCTTTGTGCATACTTACTGTTCCAACCGCAAAGGAGTTACTTCTTATAATTCCTCATTTTTAACTTCCCGAAGGAGAAGTTTATGTTTTCATCAAAAAATTCGATTCGCTAATTTTATGTTTTCTCGACGTTTCAAGCCATTCTGAATCGAATGAGACCAAATTTGGAAAAAGTATGTGTGTGTGTGTGTGTGTGTATGTGTGTGTGTGTGTGTGTGAACAGATTTTTTGCCGTAAATCGACGTTTTCTCCAAAACGGCTGGACCGATTTCAAAAATTTAAAAGCCATTCGATGTATCTCAATGAGGACTATCGTTTCTGAGTTTTGTGCGGCGATCGGCCGGGCCGTTTCTTTGTAAATTGCAGAAAAGTGAAAATTTTTTCGTCCACGTTTTAGCCCGCAATTCTGAATCGATTCTAAAAATTCAAAAACCATTCGATAGATATTGGTTGGGAATCGTGCTGATTAGTTTTTGGTAAAGATCGGCCGGGCCGTTTTCTTGTAATAAAGTTTTTAAAAAAAAAATTTTGACGATTTTTATGATTTTTTTTTTGACGGTAGATACCATAGTTTTCTAGGTCATACTAAAATATTACGGCCCTACGACAACTCGTTTAGCTTTAAAAATTCGTCAAAGTTTGCAAAAGTTTGGTTTCGTTTTTTTGACATTTGTCAAAATGAAATCTTCGATCGACGTTTTCTCAAAAACGCCTGAACCGATTTCAGAAATTTAAAAGCCATTTGATGTATTTCGGTGAGGACTATCGTTTGTCAGTTTTGTGCGACGATCTGCCAAGCCGTTTCTTTATAATTTGAAAAAAAGTGTTAAACTTTTCGTTCACATTTAAGCTCATCCTACCGAACCGATTTTAAAAAATCAAAAACTGTTCGAAAGATATTAGTTGGGAATGGTACTGATTAATTTTAGGTGAAAATCTACCGAGCCGTTTTCTTGTAATTAACTGTTGAAAAAAAGTGTTAAATTTTCGTCGACATTTAAGCTCATCCTACCGAACCGATTTTAAAAAATCAAAAACTGTTCGAAAGATATTAGTTGGGAATGGAACTGATTAATTTTAGGTGAAAATCTACCGAGCCGTTTTCTTGGAATTAACTGTTGAAAAAAAAAATTAAGCCGATTGTCATGGAACTTTTTTTGGCGATATACATCATGGTCTTATAGAATTTACTGTAATATTACGGCCTTACGACAAGTAGTTCAATTTTAAAAATTCGTCAAACTTTGCTAAACTTATTATCGTTTTTTTAAAGTAGGATTAATGAAGTATATTATTTACACATTTTTTTTGATTAAGTCGATTATTTACACATATCGGGAAGTTCATGTAACTTGCCTCAAGGCTAAATACCAAACCAACTAGTTGCAATATGATATAATAATTCCCTAGCCAATAAAGCAACATTAATAAAATTCTAAAAATAAATAAAAACATTTTGATTGTGATGAATTTAAGGGTATAATTTATATCATAATTTATATCATAACACAATTACAAAGTATAAATATATATATATATACTAGATGACCCGACAGACGTTGTCCTGTACCCTAATCTGCATTTTTTCAATATCCTGTACTAATATTTACCGTTCAGTTAAAATTAATAATTATTGTTTTTCGAATTACTATTTACCTCAATAAATGAGTGACTGTAGAACTGCTTAAAATAAAATGATGATTCTCAATTCCCACAGTTAACACTTTAATTATCCCTTTAACAAATATTGAAATATATTCAATAAAATTATATAATAAAAATTAAACACTGCAATTTATAGTACAAATTTATTTCCAATTATTTCCACGACTAAAACATTGACTTTCCAAATGTATCACACAAAAAATCATCGCCTGCCTTTGTGATTTATAGCATAATTTACACGTGTAGAAAATTTAAGTCTTTTAAAGGGTATAACAAATCCAGAAAGAATTAATTAATAGCATTCCCAGTAAAGGTACAACATCACATTGTTTTTTTCTACCCAAAATAATGGCTTTAATAACGTTGCCTATAATTTTTATA